AGGAACAGAAAGCCTTCGATGCACTCAAGACCATGCTGTCTACACAACCTGTCTTGAGAGCACCCGATTTCGCTCAGCCTTTTGTACTTCGCACCGACGCCTCGTCAACAAGCGTGGGTGCCATACTTATGCAGCGGCATGGTGCTATGCTACACCCAGTGTCGTACGCTAGCCGACGACTGCAACCACGAGAAACTGCCTATTCGACAATCGAGCGCGAAGCCCTGGCACTCACGTGGGCCATCCAGAAATTTCATATTTACTTGTTCGGACGAACGTTCACCCTCTAACATCACATCTGGCGTCCGCGCGACAGGACCGCTCTTATCCTATAAAAGAGCAGCGCGTCGCTTATGCGGGTCTGACGGTTGACGATGGAGACGGACAAGCTCACAGCAATTGGAAAGGAACTGGGGTTGAGCGGTCCAGGGCTAAAGCAGTGGATCGATGAGGAGCGCGTACGTGAACGAGAAGCGCGGGAAGTACGTTTAGCCGAACGCAATGCGGCAAAAGAAGCTGATGCCGAGGCACTGGCGAGGCTACAAGCAGAAAAGGAGGTTCTCGAACTAAGGTTGAAGCTCCGAGAGTTAGATGCGACAACGGCAGCGTACACTACTAGTCAATTGTCTCACGTGGCGGTGCTTGGGGACCAGGAGGCTGTGGGCTGGTTGAGTCCCTGTGATGACGTAATCGTCGTCGGGTAGATGTCCGGTGTGGAAACGACGTAGCAGCAGCAGGGGTTAAGGGCCGAGTAAACGAACCGTCGCTCGGTAGCCGGTAGCCAGACAGGGCTCGTCCGCGCCAGGCCAGGACCTTGCGACGCTCGTCTCGACGGCGGTGGACAATCTGGAACCTCGCGCGTAGGTGCGGGTTCTCCGAGAGCAGCAGGCCGCGTCCCAGGTCTTGCCAGGCGACGACCGTGAGGCGCTCGCTGTCCCGAAGACAGGCGCCCTGTGTATGCGAACCTCGCGCGTAGATGCGGGTTCTCCAACAACCTGCCGCCCGTTCTGCCGGCGTTCCAAAAAAAAAACTGTCTCGCCTGCGCGCGCCCTTCTTAATCTTCTCTGCAGCCCGAGCTCCTTCGTTTTTCTCGCCTTCCAGCGATCGGCCACTCCGTCGTCTGCTCTCGCTTTCCCTGCTTCGTCACAGTGATATTCAGCGTTATAAAATTACCGACCACCTATGCAACACAATTTAGGGGCAGGGTCACTGGTTTTACGTACGGTTTCCAGTCGCAATTTTACGGGCGAAGCTCCTTAAGCGATGGGTCGCGCGTCCGTGATGTAGTAGCAGTAGTAGTAGTAGTAGTAGTAGTAGTAGTAGTAGTAGTAGTAGTAGTAGTAGTTGTGATACGTATGCACCTCTCGTTAGTGCTCAGAGTATTGGCTAGATAGCGGTACTTCTATGTGATAAATGATGAAAGGTACGAGATGGCGGTACTTGGGCTATTCACTAGATGAATAGACGGATGGATGAACGAACGGATGGACAGACAGACAAGCCGACGGATGAATAGATGGACGTGCGGATGGACGGATGGACAGACGGATAGATGCACGAACGGACGCACGGACGGTTTCATGGAGAAACGAATGGACGCACGCACGAATGGATGGATTAACGGACGGACGGATGAACGGACGCGTGGACGGCTGCACGAATAGACGCATCAACACATGGATGGATTTACGGAATGATTGACGGCGAATACACGGACGGACGCACGAATGGTCGCATACGGACAAACGGATGAATCGATGGCTGGACAGACGGTCGCATGGACGGACAGAAGCACAGACGGACTGATGGAAGCTTCGGTCCACTCATCATCATTCCCTCCGTGGATGTGCTGTGATTTTTGTAAGCATCTGGTGGCCTAGGCACTGTGAATCCTACGCCTAGCCATCAGCCAGGAGTCCTTCGGCCCTGGCGGCGTTCTCGGCTTATCGGATTGGAGAAGACGGGCGTCGGTCCATGGGGCACGTTGTGCCTGGTGCGCTCTAGCGGACTTTTGAAGGCTTTTTTTTTGTCTGGCGATACATGCGCGTCAGTCAGCGCCGATAAAATCAGGGCACGCCAGGTTCACTACGTTAAACCGACGTGAAAACCGAGGGTTTTGACTCCAGCTTTTTCCACGTCGCGTAACCTTGAGGCATGCACCGGTGATTTTTTCGGAATATTAGGGACGAAGCTCGTTAAGGCGTGGGTCGGTAGTCACCTGTATTTCGCATGTATGTAGTACCCCCTCACCGCATATACACAAAGTAAATGATGATGAGCAGGACAAAGCTTCGCAGGGATTTATTTGTAAGAATAAACCATTCATAAGAGAGTAAATAAAAACACAAATCAATATATTGGAGTAAAAATTACAACAGTGACCAAAAGCACGCGTGGTTTTTGCAGCACTTCCGTTTATTCAAGAACTATTCAGAGCGCTTAAATGGTGCTCATTTGGCTTAAAACCAGCTGCTTTTTGGGCTCGATTTTGTGCGTGGTTCAGACTCATGCTGACCCAATAGCAACCTCTTGGGTATTCAGATGCTTGCAGCTAGCTTTCACATTACATCTCACAATTTGAAACCAAAACTGGCGATTCTCACGTCACGAAATTGTGAACGCGAAGCTTGACCTCAGAGCGAAACATGTAGATCTAGTCAAAAGAGTGCTTCCACCCTCCTGACAACCGCGGGCCATCACCGTGGCGCGGCTGTGGTCACGCGGAGAAGAAAGCTTCTTACGTTGATTTAGGGCTAAGCTACAGGTAGTCGTCGTCTGCTTCCATCAGGCGGCTGTGGATAAACTGTGTCCATTCCAAAAACGATCTTCTGTTTTTCTACTTCATATATTGAAGTGGTATTTTTTTTTTCAATTTAAGCCTTCTAGAACAAATAGGGCTGTGTGATTCTAAAAATATAATAACTGCATCCGTAATTGACTTTATTATGGGTATATTGAGTGTAATAAGTAAATATTGAAAGTGTGAGTCGCCTGATCACAAATCCACCGTGTGCAGCGGAACAACTTAGGCATCGCCGGACATAATATTGGGTTCTCGTATGGCATCAGCATAGTCCGGGATTAATTGTGTCTCTCACAAATAAGAGCCCAAAACACTTGTCAGCCTGCTACGTTCATTCGTTTACCATTGTTTTCTTAAGTGGTACACTCTAAGCCGAAATTCGGCAAAGTTGGACTAACTGCAGTCGTTAAACCAATGGACGAACAGTTTGTCCAACAGGGACTAAATGTGTGACAATGCGTGTCTTGCGCAAACGCCCGGCAATGAAGGGACCAACGGGGAGGGCAACTGCGCCGCGATCGCCTCCTGTCGATGCTGCACTGCAATGCTCGGCGTGGTCGGCGATCATGAAAACAAGTTAAATAGGCTATACGCCACTGTTAAAGCGAAGCACTATGAAACGAATAGAAGATGTTATTAGAGGAAAGTAGTACAACACGCTGTCAGTGCACACAGCAAGTGCCCTCGCGTTTCCACCATGCCGGCACGGGCGAGCCGAAGCCAAGTGAAAGTCTCCGCAAACACGGGCAATGCCGAGAACTCGCTTTAATGTGCTGAATAAGTTCGAACTACGGTGAACACTGACAATGCTAATAAAGGTAAGCTGTTCATCAGCGGTCGTGTACCCACACAGCGACCACAAGTTCAAAGCGATATATAGGAAAAGTAGGCTTCGTACGTCATCGGTATCAAGCGGGCTGCCAGTGTGAGTGCATTGCCGGCACAAGCGAAGGAAACGTGGCGTACAAGTTCACAAAAATAGTAGCTTAGACAAAGTAATGTCTGTTTATCTATGCGACAATCACTATCAAATATCCAACGTGTAGGCGATCGCGGATACGACTAATCGTGCGGCCAGCGGTACACAGGTTGTGCCTTACCAGCACGATGAAAGAACCGTGCCTGCGAACGGTCCCGTCGCTGTAAGTATACAGATATCTACATCACTCCGTAAGACACAGCGAACATGGGGCACTTACCTATTGTTCATTTGTGACTATAAAATAACGACGACGAAAATTTCACGCGAGCCGCATGTTGCGATCGCCGGCGGTCGTTTAGCCGTACTCGTCGTAAGCCTAGCGACGCCGTCGGCAAGCCGACACGGTATGGCATCGGCGGGGCGCCTGCGGCTGCTTCGCCGGCTTTCCCGCACAAGCGCCGCTGCTATGTTTGTGTTTGCGGACTCGTGCGCCAGCAATGCGAACGCTGGTTCGGCCGACATGATCGAATACCAGCTGATAATTCGTATTCTCGGGCTGGAGGCATGTTGGAGATTAGATGGATCCATATTAAAAGATCGATGCGCATCGGGGCTACGAATAAGCCCATGTAAATTTTCGCGTTACGGTGTCAATATTTATTGTTTTCTTAAGCCGAGTAAAAGTCGCCCACTGGCACTAGATGGGAGGTCAAAGTACTGTGCTATATATACCCGAGAGTCTGTTCTCTGTAGTACAGCGCGGGCAGTCAGTGTTTGCGGTGTTTTACTTTCAAATAATAGTGCGTATGTATGTGTGTGTGTGTTGCATGAATAACATACTATGATCTTCAGTGCTGATTAAATTGGAATAAACATAAAATATACTGCACAAACGCAGTGTCGCCATTTTTTTGCCATTGGTCCAGATGGTTCAACTGTTAGTCTCGCTGGAGCATTCTACTGGGGCCAACATTTAAACCAAGTGGAGTAAGTGCTTGGGGTAACAGTTGAGCCCTTGCAGTTACTCCCGCAGTTAGTCCAAAATTGGTTCAAAATCTGTGGCAGCGCATTTAGACCCCTAAAGGACCAATGGCATACCCCACTTTAGTCTTTTTCGGCTTAGAGTGTACTTCTCAATACACAAGACAACTTGTTTGATATCGATGCGTGCCGTAAAACAAATATTCTGATATTTAGGGTGTATGTGCCCAAGTTAAAAATATTATTGCCGTATTCAGGGAAGCTCTCTTCGCGAATAATTGTCGTGAATCAATATAAATGCGATAGAGCACAGAGAAACTGAACAACATTTTGGACGGAACAGTTTATTGGACGGCCACAACCAATATACTTGATTGAAACCCCGGCCCAAGCTGCTCCACTTCTTTCCACATTCGGTACGATTTGATGATGGAGAAGATGCAAATTTCTGCAGAATGAAACGAGGAAAGCGTGATTAGTACCAATCAACAATATAAGGCAAAAATCATGCAACTAAGAATACAAGTAGTGAAAAGAAACCGAATCTTACACTTCTTCTTGCGGAGGAGGGTGGCGTAGTTCAGTGGAGAGCCAAGACCAGTAGCCGTAGTTCAGGCCGTAGCCGAGGAGACCATGGCCGTAACCGTAGCTTCCAGCACCGTAGCCGAGAGAGCCAACGCCATAGCCGTAGTAGGCCTGGGGTGGCGTGGGCAATGCCGTAGGTAGCGATAGCTGGGGCGGCGTGGGCGACGCTGTAGGTGGCAACGGCTGGGGCAGCGTGGGCGACGGTAGCGACAGCTGGGGCAGCGTGGACTGGCAGCGACAGCTGGAGCAGCGTGGACGGTAGCGACAGCTGGAGCAGCATGGACAGCGGTGCACGGCTGGGGCAGCAGCGACAACGTGAGCGGTCTGCTGCACAACCCTGGTGACAGCTGGGGCAGCGGCATAGGTGACGGCTGGGGCAGCAGCAACGACAGGAGCCGACTGTACCACCCTGGTGACTGCTGGAGCAGCGGCATAGGTTGCAACAGCTGGAGCAGCGTGGACAGCAGTAACGGCTGGAGCAGCGTGAACAGCGGTCACGGCTGGAGCAGCGTGGATGGTGGCAACAGCTGGAGCAGCGTGGACAGCGGTAACAGCAGGAGCAGCGTGGACGGCGTAGCTAGCAGCTGGGGCGTATCCGTATCCATAGCCAGCACCAAAGCCGGTCAGGCCAGAGTAGCCGACTCCGTGGGAAAGACCGTAGTGGGAGAGACCAAGCCCACCATAGCCAAGACCGGAATAGCCGAGGCTGCCGTAGCCAAGGCCATAGCCGAGGTTGCTGGCGAGGGCGTAGCCGCCAGCAAGGTGGCCAACGTGACCAGCGAAGGCGCTGGTGGCCAGAGCGACAACAATGCAGGCACGCAGCTGGAAAAACAGAAGTATCGCGCCACAGCTTAAGCCATAGTGCAATAAAAAATAATGATCAGAACAGCATTGAAACACCTATTTTTAATGCCTGTATGCTTCTAAGTGCACACTTAGTGCAAACTGACCTATTTAAAACCAATCTTGGTGAAAGTTCTCTTTCAGAATTTGTGAGTGAACGATGGCGTGAGCACAGGAACATTTTCAATAAACGTAAAATAAGGGACCACGTCTGTATATGGCGCTAGAAGTTTAGGGAGACTTTTATCAATCTTACTGGTTCAGACAGCCTCCATTTTAGCAATCTACCTGAAATAATTGGGCAGTCACTAGTGTACGCTGTGCATTTTAGACTAAGATTAGTTCACTCATATTTTAATTTCAGTGGGACTGGTTCATTTTAAAAGCAAGGTTCTCAAACAGCTATCGCTCGTAACTGCCAGTGGAACCAAAATCGTAAGCCATGTTTGTAAAGTATATAGCAGGAGCGATCAGCAATCTGCATGCGTTTGAGGATTGGAAGTATTAGCAAGATAGCTTCGTGGTAGTAGTTCTAATGGGCCTCTACATTAGCCTTCTGTCGAAAGCACCTCAGATAAGTGAAAGCTTATGTCGACCGTTTGACTTCGTTATGGGATTTCTGTATGCATGGAATTATAACAAATGCTTCTAAGCAGCTACTAACAATCTGGCCAGTTTATCTGTTGAGCGAGAACAATGTGTTGTCTTTTTGCCACTGCTATATCCAGACAAAGCTTAAAAATTGAGCTTACTTATGTCCATTTATTTGTGACCAATAGATTGCCACTGATTGATTATTACAGAAAAATTCGTGCGACCGAGATTGTTTCTATATGCCTCAACAAAAAAAAATCTTTTTTTTTCATTTTATAGAACCGGCAAAGATGACAACTCACATTGCAAGGGATGAGATTTGGCTGTGCTTTAATGCCAGTATTTGGTGGCCCTGATTAGGTTTATTGTTTCATCGAAAAATTCAAAATGCGTAAGTAAATGAAAGCTATGTGTTATATTTGCTGAACGGAGTCCAATAAGGAGGAAGAAAAAAGCGTGTATCCAATTCGAACACACCGCATGCTCTTTGATTGTTCTACAAAAGGCTGCATTACTTGTACAATTACTTGTTATTCAAAGTAAAAGGCGGCTAGTGCAAAGCCATCAGGGGACTTACCATAGTGGAGATGGTTCTTATCCGGTCGAGGAGCAGGTGCTTCTGATTCGGATGGTTTAAATTGGGGCTTTTATACCTGATTTCTGGCTATGAGAACAAGGTTAAAACCGGTTTTTGCTGTTACACGCACGTTACGTACTCTAGTAGAATAACTACTTTCTCTTCGAATGTCAAGGTCAAAGTAACAGCTTAAACTTATTTCTTTTCACTGTCTTACTCAAGCGTCCCCAAAATGGCTTGCTTTTCTACGTCACGTATCACTTCAGATGTAATAAAAAATTACCCATGATTAAGCAGTACTTAGTTAAAAATTCTGTGCACCACATTTGAGCGCAAACCATGAGCAGTGTTGTAATAGCACTGTGCACGGCAGTGCATGCACACCGCCAAACCGGATAGGTAACTTCTGAAGCAACGCTTTCACGGATCTTTCTGTTGTTTCATGAAATTTTGTATTAGTTCTCTTTGTATAAATTTTATTATTATATATGTGTGAAAAAATATGGCAAGGTAGGCTATGTTAGAGCCAGCTATCCAAACTTCACGATGGTAATGTGCAAGATACACGCAGGATTAAGAAAAGTTTAAAAAAAATAAAACAAGAAACAGTCATCAGAAGTGCTATGCACATATAGACAATATTGGGAGTATAAAAGGTACAGGGGATGATGATGGTGACGATGATTATGATTATTATGACGTGTGAAGTTTAACGTTCCAGAACCACCATATGATTATGAGAGACGCCGTAGTGAAGGGCTGGGGATTCTTTAACCACCTGGGGTTCTTTAACGCGCACACATATCTGAGCACACGGGGCTATATTTTTGTCGCCTCCATTGAAAATGCAGCTGCCGCTGCCGGGATTCAACCTATTGACCTGCGGGTCAGCAGCATAGCAGGTACAGGTTTGAGCATAGCCCATGGATACAGTCTAAAGTTCATACAGTCTAAAGTACTCCAGGTATACCAGTGTTACTAATCTGCGTAAAAGAGCCGAACTTCATTGCCTTTCCGAACGGAGAATACATTCTAAACTTAAATTCATGTATCTTCTTTATCATGGGAAATATACAATATCCAGATCAGACTATCTTCTTGAACCTTTCAGGCATTACACGAGAACTAACCACAATAAGACAATACGACTGCCCACAAGTCACAACAACATTCACAAAAACTCTGTTTTTTCGTCATCAATTGCATATTGGAATCAACTTCCAGTAATAGCTGTGAACTGTGACACCGTAAAATCCTTTATTAAAAAGATTAAAACTATAGGTTTTGAACAATAGACGCAAATGTACGAATAGGGGTTTATTGTGAGCAGTTTCTTTCCCTTTGACTGGTTTGTCCTTTTAGCATAATTCTGAACGTTGCATTATGACACTGTTGTTTTGGCTACTTGGAATTCAATAGTTAGATTGTGTCGGTGCCTTTCTGTACGTGACATCATTGTTTGTATATCCTATGTACCACTCCTGCTTGGACCGAGAAGGTCTGCAGTATACTTAAAAAAATACAGAGTGTTTATATCGGGGATAGAGTTCGTACACATAATTTATTGCGCATATACATCTTACCTATGAGATATGATCATTAGTGTCCTAACGCTATGGCAAAGAGCAGTAAGAACTATAGGCAGTCCATCAAACTTATGTTCATTTAAAAATTATGACAAGTGCTCAGTGCACTTCTATGTTTATGGGGATCAGGCCTGATCCAAGCACTCTCGTGTTGGTAAGAAGTGGGCTGTCGAGGGGGTTAAATTGATCATTCATTTGAGCGCATTGTTGGGAATGTTGCGGAAATTCTATAATGATATGTTTCTCTGGCGCATCGGCATCATTACATTGGTTGCCCAGAGTGGACGTTCTTTTGATGCGGCACAAAAGTACGGTTTATCTAGAATACCTATTCGTAGAGGCTGCAGGAATGAGTGAACTATTTAATCGATCTTTTGGTTTGGTGACAATCAAAAAAGGGCTGTATTTCATGCAACAGTGAGCAGAATTTGGGAGTTCATCAAACCAAGCCTTACTTAAAGAATTGGTGGCACACTTAAGGAAGAACATTCTTGCTTTCTGAGAAGGAAACGGGTGTAAGTGTAAAGGGAATGTTCTCGTGGGATCGCAGTAGCTAACTTTGCTACAATCTTCTTTCCTATCACTTCTACGTAACTAGCAGACACCGAAGACAAATTTTGTGACCAGCCCGAGAAGCAATCGTAACTGTTTATAGGATTGCATATATTATGCCGTCGCCTATATGAAAATGCATTTTCTCAATTCTAGTTGCAATACACTACACAGTTGTGCCTTTCTTCTTTTTCAACAACTAAGGCTTTTATAAAACAAGACACATAAACATGGTTTTGGAAGGGAATAATAATTTCATTCGGCAAGGCTCAATAGGCAAGCAGATAAGGTGAAACACTTTTGCATTTCTTAAAATCAGTATCTTCCCAGCATAATTTAATCGTTTCAAGAACGAAAAATATCCCTATTTAACACGCTCCCGCTCTTGTAATTATGTGTACGACTATATGAAAGCTGAAGAAGGCGAATCCCGACTTTCAGGAAGAAAGGGAAAGAGAATCGATGAATGCCATTCATGAATTTTAAGTATTCACGATGGTGATCCCAAAAGCCCCGATAACCATTTTGTAAAGACAAGATGAGTCACTCGCGTTTTCCGGCTTTCCAATCAAGTCCGCTTTTCCATTGAGCCCACCTAGCAATCTAGCATTGTGACACGAAATCTGTTCTTACTTGATATGGGAGTTTTAACGTCCCAAAACCACTATGTAATTATAAGACACGCCGTAGTGAAGGGCTCCAGAAATATTGTCCTCCTGGGGTTCTTTAACGTGCACCCAAATCTGAGCACACGGCCCACAGCGTTTCCGCCTCAATCGGAAATGCAACCGCCACAGCCAGGACTTGATCCCGCGAGCTGCGGATCAGCAGCCGAGTACCTTAGCCGCTAGACCACCACGGTGGGGCAAAATCAGTTCTTGTGAACCTGACAACGAGATTACAAGATTTCCAGTAGCACGCTTAAGTACACTTCTCCTGTTGCTACAGCCCATATTCAGTATCATTTGCAAGAGTATGTATGTGCTGTGCAGGAACACAAGTGTACATGAGTAACTGCTGGGAGTCCTTAAAGGGGCAACTTAGAAAAAATGTTTGTTGGTCAAAAAAAGTTCCGATGGAACTTTTTACGGCTTAACAGTGCAGTCTTCTATCACACGCCCCATTCCTTACACTTCTACTTGCACCGCATTAATACAAGAATATAGCGTCAATTGTGTAATAAATTGCATATTTACCTTCTCACTAACGTTTTTGTTCATTTTCTAAGAATGTTTTTCTCCTAAACATTTTCAAACCGAACTTTGTCAGACACCACACAAGATTGTTCATAAAGAGAACATCATCAGTGTAGTCACTTTCTAACATATGTAGAAAAACATATGCAGTGAAAGGATAAAATTTGAAAACTCCTATTACTAGACAGTCAAAACAAAAATACTGTTGTTGCTCAAATGAATTCGATAGGCCAGACGGCTGGTCATTATTTCGCTGGCCATAGGAAGGATCGATAAAAAGAGGTGATTGCTCTGAATATGGTGGCTGGACCTGAATCGGGTTTTGGAGTTGGCTGCGGACTAGGCAATGCCCGGTGAGTGAGCACGCAAACGACAGCGTTAGTGGTCTCATTTCCCTCAATACCCACATTAGCCTGAGCAGGTTCCATGGTACGACGGTAACCTGTGCTCTCGCAAGTGGGGAAAATTTTGAATGCACATTATGGAATATACCCTCGCTGAATATTGCGGCAAGCGCCCCCGCAGTCAGCAATAATGACCCGCGACTCTGAATCAGCGTCGGCTAGTGCAGCAGTGATCCGTTTCACAAATGTAAGGTTTCGGGCACGAAACGTAAGTCCTTGAACGGTCGTGTTTCGGTGGAAGACGGCCGCCGTGTACCAACCCCGCCTGGTGTGGGCCGATAGCAGTCCACACAGAAGACACTTGGCATAAGACCACGAAGTGGAGAGATAGCCTCCTTCCACGCAGTGGGGTTACCATAGTGGGAGTCACAGTCACGCTTTGTGGATGGGGTCACACCTGGAGTGCGAAAAGCCAAGCTACGGGAAGAATGCGGACCATTTGTTCCCCTTATGTCACGTGGGATATACGTAAGCATGTCTGAAGGAGACTCCGCGCATTTGTTTTGCTGCGATACGAGTATTGATTATGAAGATCGGCTTCTCGTAACACCCGAAACGTGTTGGTCAGTACTAGAAATAAAGTTCTTCCATCCACCTATTCATCTTCAGATTGACGGGACGCTGGTTGGGTGTCATCATATGAAAGGTCGAGTGCTTTCTTCTGCGGAGAACTGCATCCATGTCTAGTGCTCTCTAATGAAGAGAACTACATCCAAATACTCTCATCACATTTTCGTAGGCGGTGCCGAGCTGCATAATAAATTCGGCTGGTGACAAATGCACGAGGCTAGCCAGCACACGGGGCATCTTTTGCATGTCCTGTAGTATGCAAAGCGTATTCTTTCACAATAGGTGTTGCTTGTTGCATGTTCGTCTCGAGCTCTCGAACCATTCATTTTTTTGCCCAAGTGGGGATATCAGCCGCAAACAGCGCGTGCCACACACCGGCGACCTCAGCTAACTAGATAGGGAGCTTTATCATGACCAAAATAAATTATAATTATGACAAAAGCATTCTTTGTGCGGTGCCTTGTGTGGCTACTTAACTGATATGCGCAATGTGCAATGTCTTGATGATTGTTGGAGTCTGATGGCCCAAAACCACCATATGATTATGAGAGACACTGTGTAGTGGAGGACTCCAGAAATTTCGACCGCCTGCGATTCTTTAACATATGCCCATATCTTAGCACACGGGCCTCAAGCATATTTGCTTCCATCGAAAATGCGACAGCCACACTGGGATTCGATCCCACAATGCTCACGTCAGCAGTCGAGTGCCTTCCCTACTAGACCACCGTAGGCGGGTAAGTGCAGTGTCTCGTAGCATGATATATGCCAATTCGTGAGGAATTGTTCGATATAATGGAAAGTAATACGCTCACAACCCATTAGCAACAAGTGAGATAGATGATATGCGAGCCACATTTTTTAGTTACCCTGTAGTTCAAATGCGAGAACCTACTTTAGCAGTGTTGAGGTGCTCGACAGGGTCCAGGATCTCCTGTGAAGTTGAAGTAGGACGTTTTGTGTGGACCCATGTGGGTGTAAACTATACATAGTGTCGGCAAAAATGTTTTGCTGTTCCGAAAATACCGACACTCTATCGCCGCCAATTCTCTTCATCAGTTTCCCAACACACGGGGTGAGTGAGGGAAATAGGCCTGAGGTCTTCAGTCTTTTCGGCATTTCCGTGTTGGTACTGCTCTTTTAAAAATCACTCCTTGAGCTTTCACTTTCACTGCGTGGTGTAGGTATGCTTGGGAATGGCCTGTGTGTCGCGCATCTGTCTGTTTACTAAAGTATAGGTTGCCTGATTGATCGAATATTAGATTCATTGATTTACAATTATCAACTTGCCGTACTTACTTTTTACATGGGAGCAGCTGTCTGTATAGTATTGGCTGTTTTTTTTTGGAAGCAGTAATCAGTAAAAAAAAATAGACGTGAACTTCTGCTCAAGATCCAAAAAACATCGAAGCACACTTGAAAAGGTTTAACTTAAACATGCACATGTCTCTTTGCCGTACCAATATATTTTCCATTACTTTATTTAGGTACCACTCCTTTTCCTAAGATACTGTGTTGCCCCTTTAGGTTGAGTGCGTTTTTAGTGGAGTTTTGTTATTATAAAAGAACTCAAAGTGTTTTCTAGCTGCACTTCAAGCAATGTAAAGAAGAATGATTGTAGAGTTGCACTCGAGGTGAGTAGTTGTTGCCGCAAAACACACATGCGTTGCGCTTTAAGCTATCTGCGTTAACTGCACAATCTTTGCGAAATATTTTAGAGGCAGTGTCTTATCATTTTTTTTTCCTATCTTATGTTATTTCAAGTTTCCTCGCATTTCTTCTGCACTGTATTCCCCTTATATTCTTCCTAACAGCACAGGGCAGCACGTTTCCGTCAATTTATTTCTCCTCCTGCAAACAGGCATCAATACTTTTAAGCATGCTTGCCTATATGTACTCTGGCATGTTACTAATAAGACACCAACGAAAATGCACTGTAACGCACACTCGTTCGCGTGTAGGTTGTGTATGTATTCAGTAATAGCACATAGTTAACATATGAAAGAAAAATGAATCTTGAAAATTCTGCCTCTAGAATTTGAGTGTAATCCTGGAACCATAACCTGCTCACGGGGTCGTCTCCACGCTGTGCGCTGTTTTGGGTGATATAATACTGGAGACAACTGATGAGCCCAGCAGAATAGAGGGACGAGAAAAGACAGGAGTGAATTCGTATTGAACTGAGAGGAAGGGATGTTGCATTATTTTTTTCACCCTCCTTAGAACTACAGGCCCCATTGGATCATCTGCTATGATTATTTTTATTACGCTCTCTAACTATTGAATAACTGCGTGAATGTGCCCCATAATGTATGTAGACTGTTTCAACCCGCTGCTGTAAAACTGCCAGACCACATTGACAGTATTATTGAAAATTAGAGGCCTCCAACTTCGAGTTTTTATTAGCGAAGTTGAAACGTCCATCTTTCACGGCTGCGTTACGCCATTCCCGTTGTGGCTGCTTGAAGATATGTGATGTTCTTACCAAGCAATAAGAACGCAGACAAAAGATTCTATGGAAACAGTTTATTTGTCTGCTACAGTAAGTACAAGCGCCTGCAGATTCCAAGAGTGTTTTCTCATTCCTATATGCATTGTATTTCGGCCCTTCTAATCCATTGGAGAAATTTCTGAAACAAGAAAATATAGAATCACCAAACGTCATGCTTGCTTTAGGAATACAAAGAGGAAGAAGCAGACACGACACAAAAAGATACCTACACTTTTTCTTGCGCAGAAGTGTGGCGTAATGGAAGGGAGAGCCGAGGCCATAGCCATAGTTAAGACCATAGCCGAGAAGACCGTGGCCATAACCATAGTGTTTAAGGCCGTAGCCAAGGCTGCTGACACCATAGCCGTAGACAGGGGCCGTGTGGTAGGCAGCCACGGCTGGCACGGCATGTGTAACGGCGGCAACAGCCGGAGCATGATGTACAGTGGCAACGGCAGGGGCAGCGTACGTGTGGACCTTAGCAACAGCCGGAGCAGCAGCATAAGCTATGGCTGGGGCCGCTGCTACTACTGGAGCTGAATGCACGACCTTGTGCACAGCCGGAGCGGCAGCGTAAGCCACGGCTGGAGCAGCGGCTACCACTGGAGCTGCATGCACGACCTTGTGCACAGCTGGAGCCGCGTACGCATACCGAGTGTAGGCTGGGGCGGCGTACGCAGCGACAGCTGGGGCAGCGATGGCGTAGCTCGCAGCTGGAGCATACCCGTAGGCAAGACCGTAGCCGGTCAGGCCGGAGTATCCAATGCCATGGGCGAGACCGTAGTGGGAATGGCCAAGACCGCCATAGCCAAGACCGTAGCCCAGGCTGTAACCTCCGGAAAAGTGTCCTCCAGCGAACGCGCTGGCGGCGAGAGCGAGGAGTATGGCGGCGCGCAGCTGAAATGAAAGGACAATAACTTTGAGAAGCGAAGCAGTGCAGAGCACAAGATAATTTACAGATTTTTGTTTGTGCACCGTTTATCGTAAGCCTAGTTGTAGATACATCTAAAATAATCTGTTTACAAATAGCGGGACACGATATTGTGTTCCGTAGGTAGACGTATTGTAGTGGTACACTTTTGTCCTCCAGAATGTATAGCGCAAGCCAACGCGTGTTGTCGATATCATATTTCGTATGGTTTATTCGGCGTTTTCGGAGTTAGTCTTACTAAATAAAGTACATTTCTCCTGATTGCTGGCTTCCATAGCGTTCATAGTTAATCATTGCAGGTCGTGCACGAATTTTAGTCATGAGTTATGGAATTAGGTGTACGATTGGCTATAGAGAAAGTTGAAATGGTGATTTATGATCAATTTTTATACATTTAAAGAAACTTTGGTTATTTAGTGCAGGGCTCTTATATATGAAAAACCCTGAAAGCGTCAGTACGACAGCAGTTGTTTTTTTTTCAACCAGAAGGTCTATTGAAAGCTACAAAAGTAGCCACTCGGGAGCAAGAAACTTAATATTTTAATTCAAGCTTAAAGAACAGTCACATCCCATTGTTGGTCGTACTCTGCGCTGTGAGTTTAATCCTGGTGCTTTACAAAGAGGCATCCTAAACAAAACCTTATGGTGTTTAGCGAATCCTCATTGTATAATTGAATGTTGCATAAACAAGCGAGAGACGTGATAGTTTGGAAACATTGTCGCTCTCGCCAGTCAATGAAGTAAAAAGCTGCTTGCTTCGCGGACGTCAGCATCCCAGTGAATGATTTCGTTCTGTGGGTAGCTTGCAGGAAGAGTCAAGCTGTTTCAGTTTTCTTGAGTTTGATATTCAAATTCGAATGGTTAACAGTGGCTGAAATATAGGCCGATTGATTGATTGATTGATTGATTGATTGATTGATTGATTGATTGATACGTGGGGTTTAATGTTCCAAAACGATCATATGATTATCAGCGACGCCGTAGTGGAGGGCTCCGGAAATTTCGACCACCTGGGGTTCTTTAACGGGCGCCCAAATATGAGCACACGGGCCTACAACATTTCCGCCTCCATCAGAAATGCCGCCGCCGCAGCCGGGATCTTATCTTGTGACCTGCGGGTCAGCATCCTAGTACCACCGCCACTAGACTACCGCGGCAGGGTGAAATATAAGCAGATGACGATTCCCGTTCATGTAGATCATGATGTTACAGAACAAGGGAAAATGGCTGTCACCGACAGAGGGCGTGCTTTATAGCTTGTGGCTTATAAGTCTCATTTTACCCCTCAATATTCTGCTGAAGTGTATTCTTATAGGTATATATGCAGACACACTAGGCCTTCCGCATCTATTTTTTTCACTGAAACCCACAAACGGTCGAATCACCTACTAATGGGTACTCTTGATGCACAGTTGGCCAAAAAATACAATGAATGTCAAAATATGCGTAAAATATTCGTGAAATACTCCATCTTTCGACACTATCAGCTCTCCTATAGCTGGAAGCTAATAGGATACTACTAGGTTGGCTTTAGCTTTGGTTGTTATGGGTGCGAACGCATCTGAGCGTCGTTCCACACTTTATGCAAGCCAGATTTTTCAGCGCATGTGTTAGCGGTTATTATTACTTACAATAAATATATACTTTTCCTGCATACTTGTTTCTTATTTTGGGCCATAAAACATTTCTTAACTTGAAATCACATTGAGGCTTTGCTCAGACAAATATGCCCTTATCAAATGCTCAATAGTTGACATCGGTTTCACCAAAATATCACCTAAGTGGTACGAATTTCGTAAATACAGAGCGTGCAGGACCTGTCTTTTTCAAGATTGCCACTTTATCTTTAAGCCTTGAAGACAAGTCCACTTTTGAAAGTACCACTGCTCACGAATTGTGCATCAGAAGCTTCGATATTCTTCTTCTGCCTTTTCTCTAGCGCCTAAGAGTCCATTCCGGCAAATCAGTTATAACTTGAACGGTTGCCGTGCACTGCTTCACTCTACACAGAATATGAAACAAATAAATGCCCCAGCTCTACTTTCAAGAGAACGAATTGAGGCTTTTTAGCATTGGTGAGCCGCGTTCATCGAAAAGCTACAAAACGCTGCGTTCTAACGGATATCTCTGAGAATCCCTTGCAAGCGTAAAGCGGTCACCCGCGATGCACACACCCTTGTCCGACGTACTCACCATGTTGTCTGTCTTAATCCTATGAAAGAGCCGAAGGTTCTGTAAGGTCCTATCCCGAGGCAATGCTTTTATATCTGGCACTCGACTGGCGAGAAACAGCAGCAGCTGAGCATTGCCAGCGAAGGGGAGGATAAAGGGAACGCCCACCTTTGATATTCGTGTTTTTTCGTCGCCAAAAACAAAAAGAACTGAGGCCTAACTCTTTAAGCGAGCAATTAGATTGTTAATCGCGAGCGTTTTCCTGGCGGTCTTTGGCTTCCTACTACGGTGCGAAGGACGGCAGTGAGCGCTTATATTTTTGTGTGGCTGTTACTTTTTTTTTGTTCTGTGGTGCTGTTGTGCCAAAAAGTATGCAATTGCGGCCAAGGCGCGATCAGTGGTCATTTAAGTATACGGTGTTAGTTTTTATCGTGATACAGTGTGGCCTAGGCAGCTCAGTTGACCTACCGAGTACCTTTTTAAGCGTGTCAAGCAGTACCAAGGGCCACTTTGTCACCAAAATTCAAGTCGGGGTCTTTTTGTGTGCTTCTAGATCTGTAAAGCCAAAATTCCCGCGTTGTGAATGCGTCATAAGTACATAAAAAACACACTAAATAACAAGTAACGGCCAATGAAGTTATCTAAATAACCAGACGGGATTTTGTTGTTTCAATTCTCATAGATCTTGCGTTAAGCTCGCGAATACGTTTGCTGAAGACCTGGGTATGTTTGTTGTGAAGCTATGCCCTTCCCGAAAAAATCGTTATGGCGTTTTGATCAATTATCAGTAAAACAGAAAAATAATACTAAACGTGATAGAAAAAGAAATAACAAGAAAGATGGTGTAAGAAGCCTATGCGCTGGTTCTGTGAGGTTTCTTTTTATGTCACTAAGAACAATGATTTTGTGGCTAAATAATTTTGTTCATACGGTAAGTAATCTACATGATTAAACTTAGAACAGCAACACATGGTGTGTTGTCAGTGCGCGAAAGGTAAGACTAAAGTATTTGTCACGAACTAACTTACTCCACGCATGAACAAATACAGTAGGTTAGAGCTCCGAAATGGAATAACTTCGCTTTCCTCTAGCATCACTGTGCATCAAACAAGTTAGTGAACTCCGTGTTGCCAGGTCGATAAAGGCTACCAGTCACGTAACTGCATGACAGTGGATGTACATTCTAGACGCAATTACATCATCTTTGTACATTCTAGACGCATGTACATTCTAGGCGCAATTACATCATCTAACGCGTTCGATGCTCTCGAGCATGGAACGCGTTATTCGAAGGTCGTAGGTTCGATTCCTGCTCACGGCTGGTTCTTTCTTCATCCAATTTTCTTTCTTCTTATTTACATTCCATCGGTTCTAATAACTTCCCCTGTACATTCCTTGGCATTACTGTCTGTTAGATCTCATATGTATATATATATATATATATATATATATAATATATATATATATATATATATATATATATATATATATATATATATATATATATATATATATATATATATATATATATATATATATATATATATATATATATATATATGTATGTATGTATATATTGAGTTAACTTGCAGATAGCAAATAAGAAAAGGATCGTATTTACTAACGTTTCGGCCGTGGCACGGCCTTCGTCAGAGTAAGTAGGTATGATACAATGCAGCCGCTTTTATAGGCTCACGTGATGAACTCTCGGTATAGCAGCTAGGACAATCAAAGTAAAAAAATGGTAATCTGTGAGAACCTTGTGTTGATATGACTGACATGTGACGGGTGCATAAATATACAAGTCTCAAATTTCCTTGCGCATCGACACGCGGGGCACAGTATGGTTGGCAGGACATGCAAAAGAGCTTTGAAGTAATGAAACCACGGTTGACTAATATACATTCTAATATACACTAAAATATTTTACTAATCTAAGAAGTCGTGTTGTTATAGTGCGAGGCAGGTGAGCTTTCCTACGTTTTCATTGATACCTGAACGAATGGTGTTAAATTTATGGATCAAGAAGGATTCCCTCACTTCCCTATCGTGATTTGTCTTGAAACCGGACTGAATAATAGTGGCCCTAATTTTGTCGAAACCATGGCCAGGCATACTGACGTGCTTCGACAGCGGTAGATTAGGGAGGCTTACGGCATGTGCACGGTGATTATTAAAACGAATTCTGAAACTTGTCTCTGTTTGACCTATGTACTGAGCTCCGCATGTTGAACACTCGAGAAGATATATGACGTTTATACTATCACACGTGATATATATATATATATATATATATATATATATATATATATATATATATATATATATCATACCTATCTATCAGCTTATGCCTAAGTGCTCCCGTGAAACCCCCTTCATTCTCGTGAACCAAAATTTGTATGGGAGAATAAGATGCTATGACAAATTTGATGCGCTGCTCAATACATCAATGATGTCACAATCCTGTCTCGCACGTCGTCAAACACTTCTTGGCAGACAGAGACACATATGCGTGGGCGGGTATGTGACACTGGTATGCTGAGTTGTGCCACAGGAGGTTGATATTTCGTATCTGCCCTGCAATAAAGAAAATATAGATAAGCAATTTTACTACATGCGTGTTGACATCTATAGCGTTGATCCGACGAGTGCAAAGAATAATTGTGAGTGTCCAAGCAGGAATTGAACCCAAACACTCTTCTTGGCATTCAAGCATTTAGCCGCCATGCCAGACCTCTGGTCTGCTTTTCGAATAAACCCTAATGTTCGCGAAATCTCACTGCTGGTTGCAGTGCTGGCTATCTGATTTTATAAAGCTTACATGTGCATTCTTTTGATACAGCTGTCACGTCGGGTTAACGTCAATTGTAGTTGGGCGCTGTGCGCTGAAGTTGATTTATGTAGCAGTGTGCAGGGCAACTCTCTTCGCGAGCACAGGCGCTTCATATTTCTTATCGCCTGAGGTGTTGCTAATACTCATGTGTCTGTTGACATAATTGCGCAAGTGCGAAGAACTGGCTACATAAATATTTCAAATTCTTCAGAATATATCTGTGTGTGCAACATTTATACATAATTTTGGCGTAATTTCAGGTGTCACTCAAAAAATTGCAACGCGGTCACCTTCTCTCCGCATGCTTTACATAACGCTGGTTCCCATAGTCCATGGGTTCTGCTGAATTTTTTTCGAACAAATATTATCCGCTGCCTTCTGCCAATCTGTACCAATCCCATACAATCACTCAAATATTGTAAAGAAAGGCAAGCGTTTGTGCGATAATATATTATATAAATGCATAGGGCCGCCTTATGGACTAAACTTTAACACGCGAGTTTTTAATACGTACCTAAATCTAAATGATTGCGTGTTTCTTCATAAATTGCACCCTAAGTTAAGATTGTACTGAGCAAGTTCATTTTATAACTTCAGTGTGACTTCAATTTCTGTTCCTTTAAGAAATGATGTAAGTACCGAATCGACAGATTTTACTTCACAAAAATATATATTTGTAGCGGGACCACGAGCACAAACTAAAAGCACATACTAAACAAAACTGCAGCTGATCTACCAACCGATAAATGCTCTGCCACATTCTTAGACGTTGCAACAGCCACACACATAAGAACACGAATCGTTTACCAACGATTTGCTGAAACAGTGTCTTCAAACGCCATTTAAGACTCCACCTGTTTGGCACAATGTCAGGGGAAGGTTTCTTTACGATTGGACCGAAAAGCGGCGCCTGCACTGTAATAACTCTGGCTAGCCGGAGGGTAGGACGACAATACACAGCATTCTCGAAAGTTGAACTCACTCATCTTAATATGATGTATATGCAGCCGGTGAAGGTGCAAATGTTTTTGATTTGGTAAGGCAAATGTACAAGTAGTTTAACCTTCCCTAAGATAATGAAACATACCACTCTACGAGAACGCGCATGACGTGCGGGAACATGCAAGCACGACCTGGCTTGCGGAACACGTATGAAGTAATCCATAGTCGGAGTGTTTGAACCAGCATCCGCCAGGTGGCGAATGCCGTCGATCTCACGGCGAATATTCAGATATATGTGGCAACCCCATAGATATCAGATGGACTTCACCGATGCTATTTTAGCCCCATCGTTCGACCACTCTGCTTCTCTTCATCTGCGGCCCCGCTGTACTTACTCGTACCGATGCATGTCTTTTTTAGTTGTTGTTGTTCAAAAGCATCAGTTCGCGTTCCATTTTTTATTTTTGCACCTTTCACTGGCCTCATGTGCAAGAGGTTTTGTCATGCGTCATTTCGCGATTAGCTAAATTATTTGCTAGTAATGCATGGTCATGATATGAAGACTATCACTCGGTCACGCTGATGCATGATGAAAGCAGTGCTCACCATGGCTTCGAAGATTTCGGCCATAATTTTGCAAAGTTGAGCATTCTTGCTTTGTATCGTTACAACAACAGGCACGGGCAAGGTGCCTCATTAGAAGTAAAGGATGGTCGCAAGGGTTTGTCGCAGTGCCCTCCACCCCCGTCATGCTTTGAGTATAAATTACTGTAGGTTCCACAATACAGGAACAAACAACGAAAAATGAAGTGATGACTTGCTTCTCACACTAGCCGGCCTACAGTATCTGACTTTCAAATTTCGGGGTGGAACATATCAGCGGCCTCTGGTCCCCATTATCGTAAAGAAACTCAGTTACCATACTTAGTGAACATATCGTTCAGAATTGGCGCCCCCCCCCCCTTATGTGCTTAGAGGTGGCGGCTACCGCTTTGACACCTCTTCCCCAATCGGGCGCACCCCCACGCTACTGCACGCACTGCGTCATGTGGTGCACGAACTCCGTATGACACAGACTGCAAGTTAGCGCGCCAAACAACGAATCAAACGCTCTCATTGGTGAAACACACTGACGTAGCATTGTTTTTTCCCATGATCTGTGACTCTGCAAGCTCGAGCACGCTCATCACAATGAAGGAGAAAAGGCGGTCAAGGTGGCAGACAAAAGATGGGACTCCGCTCGTACCTGCCGGAGGAGGAGGAGAACTGAACTTTATTCAGAGTCCGGCGAGTTGGTGGGGCGGGCCAACGGCCCCGCCTAGGTTACGGCCAGAAGTACTTGAATCTTGGCGGCTTCCTCGGCCCGCTGGACGGCGCACATATGATCTTCGAGGCCGGAGCTTTGCACTGGGGCTTCCCAGCGCGCGCGAAAGCTGTCACCAGAGGCCGCATACTCGTTGAAGGCACTAATCCCTCTACATTCCCATAACATATGCTCCAAAGTGCCTCTGGAGTCACAGCAATTGCACCTGTCCGTTTTGTGTGTATCGGGATATATAATGTGCGAGAGTGCAGGATTCAGATACGTCCTAGTTGGTAACTGCCGCAATTCGACAGACTGTCTTTTTTCTTAATTTTGGGTGAGGGGGCGGAAGGATGCCCCTCTGTAACCTATATTGTTTTGTAATGTGACTGTATTATGTCATTCTGTCTTCCAACTCCCACTCGTCTACCGCGCCTTCATCATCGGAGGATGCTGGGGCGGCACGTGAGAGGGCAGGTCGGTCGGTTAACCCTCGAGCTGCGTCATGTACAGCCCCGATGTTGCTGTCCCCCCCGATGGCGGTACCTGCCGGATTCAAAATATTATTCTTAAAACAAACAATGCGTGAGTAATGAACTCCTATTCAGAGGTCATTCCATACATACTTTCAGAAGTTCTCCTGTCTCCTACTAACGTGGAAATTAAGGTGAGGGATTTTCATAGCAGAGCAATGACTCATTCAGGCAAGCACAATACCGCACATTATTTATGTGTTTGTGTTAATGATACAGAATGAGAAAATTTTTATTTACTTCAAACACGAGACAATTACAGCACTACTGGTCAATAGCATTGCGCATACAAAAGTGGATCTAATTACAATTCAACACATACTACGTGACGGAACATGCTTATTTCCCATAACACTCAAGCTTGTACAACAGACACGTTTTCCATGCAACTTAACAATGTTGGCTTGTGCCAAAGAGAAAAAAAAAGAAAAAGGAAGAAAAAACACACAGCAAAGGAAAATGAAATGTTTAAAAGCTAGATTATCATATACAGGTGTTTGAAAGGCAGAATGCGTACCGTGACATTATATATATAGCCGCTGCTTGCATCGCAAGATGTCATTCATGTGTTTAACATTATTTTACTTTTAAGGAAAGGGACACCTGTTGTAGAGTATCTTAAATAAACGTGCTTTTCGACAACTTTTTTGCTGTTAAGCAAAATAGATATAGGCTACTTAGAGCCAAATAATAATGTTAAAAACACAGGATGTATTTGCATAATCTGCGGTATACCGGAAATCACGATCAGCATAGTTCAGTTTATCTTTCGCACATCACCATTGTCAGTCAGCATCGCAGCATTATTACCACCATTGCTATATCATCATTTCATATAGATCAAGATTGATCGTAGGAAAACAAAGGGGACAAGTGGATGTGGAAAAAAATTGACAGCATATCCACGGAGTGAATGATGGAAAGTGAGGCTAAGCATTCGTCCGTTCATTGGTTCTTGCTTCCGTCCGTCTATGCCTCCGTCTGTGTGACCGTCCATGCGTCGATCCGCCCGTTCGTGCGTGCGTTTGTTCGTGCGTCCGTCCCTGCGTTCGTCCATGCATCCGCCCCTGCGTCAGCTCATGCGTCCATCCATGCATCTGTCTGTGTGTCCATCCGTCCATCTATTCAACACTCCAAGTACCACCATCTCGCATCTTTTCATCATATATTTCCCATATAGAAGCACCGCCATCCAGCGGACATTCCACGGACTAATCGAGAGGTGGCACACGCACGCTTTCTTACGGCGTGCGCTTCGGGTCTACTTCCCACCTTTAACCACCTCGAGTTCATGGTATATACTTGTTCACTGTATTCATGGCACTGCAGCCATGAATACAGTGCTAAACCTTTCTAAAACCTCGCTACACCTTTCTGAAACCAAGGAGATTACGACCAGCGAGCATAACGTAGCAAACTTTTCCTGTCAGATAGTGCTCCATGTACATGCCAAAGGCTGCTAATGGGAAATGAGAGACAGGAGAATTTGCCTTTTACTTTCTTACGGCTTGCGCTTCGTATTATAACACTTCGAGTTATTCATGGTATATAATAGTTCATTGTATTCATGCCACTGCGGCTCAACGCTCGCTAAACCTTTCTAAAACTAAGGAGGTTACACCCAGTGAGTATAACGTAGCAAGCTTTTCTTTTCAGATAGTGCTCATTGTACATGCCAGTGGCTGCTAATGGGCATTGCAGCGTGCGCGTTAACTAAAAGCCGAATGCTCCTGTCTCTCATTCCCCATTAGCAACCATTGGCATGTACATTGAGCACTATTTTTTATTGTTCAACAACGCACAGAAAAAATCTCTCACTAGCACCACCTTGGAGGACAAAATGTTATACTGGTTACATACTACAACGGCTACGAAGGACGAACGGGTGCCGCTATAATGAACTTCACCCCTAAAAGGCTGAAAAGAAAAGATATACTTCTGTACTGGCGCAGCATCTAACGTTCTTGCAGTGCTTTCTTTCAATATCGAAATCTGGATTACATTCCTAATAATAGCACGAATTGAAAACAATCAAAATATGTATGTACCCGTACGCGTCTCCGAGTGTGACAGCGTAACTTCAGTATTCTCAGCTTCCTTCTACTAAGAAACGTCAAACACCAGGGCCCGGATTCACAAAGCTCACTTACGAAAACATTTTTGCGCAAGAGAAATTTTGTTGCGTAAGTCGATTCACGAAACGAAAAAACGTCGTAAGAGGCCATAGTTGTCACATCGGCCGCTGCAAATAAAGCGCGCTGTGACTGCCCGGGAACATGTCAGCGATGGTGATGCAGTTGCTATATTTGCTTACGTCACCGAAAAGTGCTCGTAAGTGGATTCACGAAGCGAAATTGTGCGTAAAAACAGCATGGCTGAGAGAAAATTCCAAGAGTGGTCCGGACCACTCTTAGGAACAATGTGGCTACTTAGAACCTGCTGCCACAGCGGTATACTTTGGTGCCCTGGCTGGTTTTGAGTTAATTCACGCCCATTAAGGGCTGCCTGATGACTGCTGGTGTGCTTTTATCTCTTTCGGCACTTTGAGCTTCGCGTGTTGTTTCCCTTGTACGCAGTGGATGGTGTTGACAACCACCACCGTCCAATAAGTTCGAAGTCGCAGTAATTGAAGAATTCTATTGGGCGTCAATGGCATAAAACTACGCATGTAAAGATTTGTGGTTGGATGAAAACCAATGTGATACGTGAATGGTCGGTGCATTCGAACGCGACATGGCATAGGATCAACCTTATTTGTTATATTGTTGTGTTGCGCCCCATCTCATTCAATTAAAAGTGCGACTCGAGATCCTTGCCTCATTGGTGGAAATTACCACCAAAGAGGTTAATGGTAGCACATTCTTTGCAAGCTATTGGAAATAAAAATGAGAGAAAGTTTCCAGTGAGTGGTTCCTAAAGTTTGTGCTCTAGTGTACTTTCATTGGCTCTAACTGTCCAATGGTTGCGATCTCTGAAATACAGCTGTCGATACACTTTGGGACGATGTGGAACAAAGCGTACTTTGTAAACCAAAGCGTATTAGGGTTGCGCGTGATTACGCATGGAACTACAAACAAATCATGCATCTTCACCTTCACTGTTCAGACACCGATATGGACCGTGATATTATGGCAAGCAATCGGAATGAAATGACCCTAGTAACTTTGTATGACACCGAAAATATGCAAACCTTCACGATTCTGGAGCAAACCTTGGCTGAATTCATCCCTGCGTCAATTACCAGTCATTTAACTTGGCGCACGAACATCATTCAAAGGTAGAGCGAGCCACTGACATATATTTTGTGCGACGTAGTGACCACTTGACCTGAGAATAATAGCGTTGCGAAGGCGAATCCCCTGTCGCATGCTCTGGTCGAAGCAGACGACAAACGCGAGCAGACGACGGCTTGGCCGACAGGCACAGCTTGTTATTGGTTGTGAAGCAATACCCTCTACATCAGCTCTCTCCGTGACGTTGCCAAAACACTTCTTTCATCTGGCACGCCTGTCCTGTTCGTCATATCACCCCCCTCGCACATAAGAGAAATTTTTTTCACGCCGTGAAAATAGTGCAAGTACTTTCTAAGAGCTCTCTTACGTGCGGTGCAGTTGTCGAAAACAACATGGCGTCGTAAACAGCATATCGGTCGGTGCGACTTTCAGCAAATGCTTCTCGCACGAGTTACTTCAGCGTTTGACCGGATGTGTTGTGATTACAGCAGCTCTTTCAGTGCGTGTGAGCAGTGCGGAAAGCTGTGGCAGTGCAATGGTGTACGGTGAAGCGCAGCGAAG